GCTCACTATCCCCTCCGAGAGCTCCAGCCTGTTCCACTCCGCAGAATCTCCCGGGGGGGGCGGGGGGGGCTCCATCACGACCAGCCCAGACTTGCAATTCGCCAGCCGAGGAGCCCCCAGCAGGAGCCAGAGGGGGGAATTTCAGAATAACAGACTTGGAAGAGGCCCTGGAGGTCTTCTAGTCTAACCCCCTGCTCAAGCAGGAGTCCCTAGACCAGCAAAGTCCAACTTTGGAACTTTAAGACTTGTGGACTTCAACTCCCAAAATTCCCCGGCCGGCCATGAATTCTGGCAGTTGGTCCACAAGTCTTAAAAAGTTCCCGAGATTGGACATCCCTCCCCTATACCATTCCAGACAAGTGGCTGTCCAGTCTCTTCTTGAAAACCTCCAGGAACAAACTCCAGGGCTTTCAGACGCCCCTGGGGCGAGTCCACCCTCCAAAACCAGGTCAGTGAAGCCGGGAAGCAGAAGGGGGATCTCCCACCAGCAATGATATTTAATGTGGAGGAAAGCCAGCTTTTATACTTAGGCAGGAAAAGCCGAAGGTCCAGGTACAGATGAGGCAAAACCTGGCTCAAAAACAGCCACTGGGAGAGGGACCTTGGAGTCCCAGTGGACGATCACTTGACCAAGAGCAGCCAAAAAAGGCTAACACAATCCTGGGTTGTATAAACAGAGACATAGAATCAAGATCACGTCAAGTGTTATTACAGCTTTATAAAGCCTTAGTAAGGCCACACCTGGAATCCTGCATCCAGTTTTGGTCACCCCATTACGAAAAAGCTGCTGAGACTTTGGAAAAAGCGCAGAAATGAGCAACAAAGAGGATTAAATGCCTGGAGACTAAAACATATGGAGGATTTGGGTTTGGCCAGTCCAGGGGGAAAAAAGACTGAGGGAGGGGGGGGACATGATAGCAGCAATCCAATATTTGAGAGACTGCCACAAGGAGGAGGGGATCAATTTATTTTCCAGAGCACCAGAAGGCAGGACGAGAAACAGTAGATGGAAACTCATCAAGGAGAGAAGCAACCTGGAATTAAGGAGAAACTTCCTGACAGTGAGGACAATTAGCCAGTGGAACAGCTTGCCACCGGAAG